GGAGCAGGAGAAGGGAGGGGGCGGAGGAACAGGAGGAGGAGGAGGAGGAGGAGGAGGAGGAGGGCGGTTTGCTCGAAGGTCCTTGACGCGAGCAGAACATTTGTTCCGAAGTCCAGGACATATATGTATATATTTATATACATACATATACATATATATATATATATATATATGTGTGTGTGTGTGTGTTCATAGGGGGTGACTGCGAGGGGGGGCGGTGGTTGTGTGCGGGGATCGCTGGAAATGCTCACCGTGGCACTATCCTCCAACATGACATGCACTTATGGCCTTGTGTGGCTAAACGCTCGTCTTACATATCCCACTGCCAACTATCCTACAACATATGCACATGTGGGAAGCTCCAAAGCTACCACGGGCTGAAAAGGGGAAGGCCTGGCAGCTGAGGAGGGGGGATGAAGAGGAAGAGGCTCGCATTCAACCATACTCAAAGCTCACTCTGACTCATACGCAATCACTCGCATTAGGGGTCACTCGTCTTCGTCGGCCCTGTCGCCCACGTGGACGCGCTATTGTAGTCGACCGCTCATGAACAGACGCTCACCACGGCATGACATAAAACATGAGATGCACATATGGGGAGCTCCACGCAGTAAGTAATTGTGTTTTGTGAGTGTTTTTGTGATTGTGTTTGTGTTTGTGTTTGTGTGTGTGTTGGGCCCACCCCGCCAGTGCCCGTTTGGCGCCGCTGCCCGCCGCTACCCGCCGCACCCCGCAGCTGCCCCGTGAGGGGCTGGCGTCCTTTTCCCTCTGCGCCTTCGCTTTTCGCCATGGGGGGAACGGGTCGTGAGGGCAGCGGGTCCTTAGGTGCTTCCTTGTTTTTGAATTCCTGTGGCCCACGAAGGGTCCCGGGACCGCCAGAAACCGACTCGAGATGAACATGTGGTCCTGGGGAAGGCCCCAGGGTCCAGGACCCGTTTCCCTCAGGACCCGTTTCCCCCTATGCGAAGTTGTGCCCAGGCTGTCAGCCCGCTGCGTTGCCGTGCAGCTCTGGACGGCCGTCAGGCTCTTCTCCCCGTCCGCTTGCGACCAGGAGAGCGTGTGTCTGTGTGTCTGTGTGTCTGTGTGTCTGTGTGCGTGTGCGTCTGGTTGTTCTCCTGCCTTCGGAGACCCCTGAGGGCCTCCAGGGATGATGAGGAGGAGGCGAAAGGAAAGAGGGGAGGGGGGGAGACGGGGGGTAGGAGGACGACGAGCGACGCTAGCTGAGGAGGTCGAGACGCGGGGCTCCTCCTCGTCCTCGTGCTGCTCGTCCCCCCTCACTCCTCCTTCCGCCCTCCCCTCCCTTTCCACCTCCTCTCCCGCTATCCTCTGGACCTTCTCGTCGCCACGCCACCCTCTCCTCTCTCCTCCTCCGCTCCCGTGATCCTCCTGCTGAAACTCTTCCCCCTCCCCCTGAACACCCATCCCGCCTCGGCCACGCCGGCTGGTAGCCTCCGCTGCGGGCACCTCCTCTGCGCGAGCCTTTCATGCGCACGCAGCGTGATGACACTGCGCCGTGAGGCGAGTCGAGCCGACCGCCTGGCCCACCGCCTCTCCAAGGCGGCTCCCACGCCTGAGGTCAACGACGCCGACGAGGGGAGGCCGCTCGTCGGCATGGGCGCCGTGGACCAGCCCACGCGCACGTTGCAGCGGCTCTGGCTCTAGGAGGGCCTCTCCCGCAGGGGCGGGGCCCACAGGTGGGATGTTGGCTCTTCGACGCTGCCGCCCATCACCCTGGAGGACCTGCAGCAGGCGTGCAGGCGCTTCGGCCCGTATGTGGGGTCGGGCTGCGTCTACCTGCTCCCCCGCCAGCTCCTCCTGCTGCCAGAGGCGCTGCCGCTTCGCTGGTCAGTCTTCGTGGTGGCGTTCGAGGACGAGCCTTCTTCGTTCAGGGGCAGGTGGCGCTCGCGGCTGTCATTCCCAAGCCGACGGAGGGACGCGGCCCATCGCGCTGCTCCCGCTGGCCCTGCGGCTGGGGTCTCGCCTGGGGCAGCCGTGCTACGCCCGTTGGGAGCCAGACCACCGCTGCCCCCTCTTCTGGGGCCGCGATGGACGTGGCTCGGAGTGCAGCCTGAAGCACCAGCAGGAGTCGCGGGCAGCGCCTTGGTTGCAGGTGCTGCTGAGTGCGGCGCACGCGAGGCGGCCGTCTCATCGGCCGAGGAGCCCGCGGCGGCTGGTGGCACCGCGGACGGAGCGTGATTGCGGAGACCTGGCTGGATGCGCACGGCCTCGATGAGGAGAGCCTGCTGAGCTGGGCGGAGGAGGCCGTCGAGGCCGTCTCGAGCGCCAGGGCAATTTTGGACTCCTAGTGGCCGCGGGCCTCTGCGTGCGGGCGTGTGGGTTCCCGCGCCTCGCCTGCCCCGCCGTGCCGCTTGGGGCGTGCTAGCATGTTTGGGGCTTCGCCCGTCGCGTGTTTGCACAGTTGTATATATTCCAGCGCTTCGCGCTGATGCCCCTTGACGGGGGCGCGAGCTGACTGGCCGTGTGGCGCCTAGGGGCCGAGGTGCCCTGGTGGCAGCCCTTTGCGGCTCGTCTGGGCTCTCGGGATCCCCTGTGGCCCGCCCCTGTCCTGGGATGGCCCCTTCGGGCCTCGGCCCCTCAGTGGGGCCTGGGCCCCTTGTGGTTTCTTTCTGCCTTTACAGGCCCCGCGCTAACAGACAGACGCAAACACACAAACCGCAACTGCTCTACACTGCATTTCAATGCGTCCGGGGAGCCCCTCCACCTCCCCTCCATTTTTCCTGTCCTCCCCCCGCCGCCTGCTCCTGAAAGCGACGCTGCCCGCGCGGCGACGACGACGATGACTGTACGACTGCAACGCGGACGACGACGACGACGACGACGACGACGACGACGACGACGAAGACCACGACGACGACGACGACCCTTCCAAAGGACGTGGAGGTCGAGACGCGGCGCGGCCTCGCCCTGGGCCGCAGCCGCGCTTCTCCTCGGGAGCGTCCCCGCGGCCCCTTGGCTGGGGCGCGTCGCCTGACCGCCGCCCGCCGCGGGCACGGGCGCGCGCGGGCGCCCCTCCCCCCCCCGGGAGGCCTGGCGCCTCGGAGAAATCGGGGGCTGTGAGATGGGGGTCAATGCAAACGGGGGTGAGCCAGAGCGCTGGATCCTGCGGGGCCAGGGTCGGGCTTGGGTGCAGGACCCTGCAGGGTCTTGCAGGATCCTTCGCATTGACCCGAGTTTGGTTGCAGGATCTTGCAGGATTCTGCAAGGCCTGACTGGCCCTGATAAGATCCCCGAGGAGAGATGGAGGTGGCCGGCTCTTCGTCCGCTCCTGTCGACTACACGTAAGAGTGATCGTTCGCCGGAGTGACCTTTGGTGCAGGCCAGATGGGGCCCGCCCGATCGCTGGATGCAGTGCGACAGCAGCGGCTTTCGCGCCTGGCGTTGTCCCAAAAGGGCCCCCCTTGGCCGCGCACTCAAGGTCACTCTTGCCTAAGGTCACTCTTGCGTGTAGCCGATCCTGGGGCCCTCTCGACTACGGTGTGGGCGTTCGTTCAGGAATGCGCCCAGAAGGCTGCAGACCCTGGAGGATTCCTTATCCGACGAGGGCGGCGGTAGTATGCATGGCCGACCCACGATTGAAACATACCACTTTCCAGACCCTGGATTCCTTATCTAAGGGTTCATTGTCCAATGACCCCACCGTGCAGTCGAGCGTCTGATTAAGAACCCTCTCCTGAAAAAGCTAGGCCAGCGTTTCTTAGCCAACTTGCTGGACAGCTGGCCAAGTTTCTGGAGCACGTTCGCCCCTCTTTGACGCGAATTGGCCAAGGCTTGTCTTAAGGAACCTCGGGAAAGCTGGCCCAGATTCCTTAAATCATGGTTTTCCTTATCACATGTTCGGCTGTACGCGTAAGAGTGACCTTTCGCCAGAGTGGCCTTCGGTGCGGACCCAACGGGGTGCCCCGATCGCTGAACGCGAAGCGGTAGCTGCGACTTGCGCGCCCGGGTTTGGCCACCCCGCGACCCCAGTTATGTCGCGCACCCAAGGTCACTCTTGCCCAGAGTCACTCTTACGTATAGCCGACCACCTGGGGCAAGTCTCGGGCCCCCCGGGGCCGACAGGAAACGGCTCGGGAGAGGAACGACCGGCCCCAGGAGAAGTGGTCGTAAATGGAGCCTAGGCTCGGGACAAAATCGCTCCAGAGCGTGTTCGGAGCGTTCCGAGGAAGTTGTGGCGCCCAAGACATCCGTCCGAACCGTTGGATCTCAGAGATTCCCGATTCATCCCGATTCGACGTTGTCCCAGTTCTGCCTTCGCTGTGCTGGGGGCCCACGCCTCGAGGTTGATCGGGCTGATGGATGTCTGATGCCCGCCCCCGCCCCCCCGCTCCCTTCGGCCGCCGGACGCGCGAGACCGCACAGGGCAGGGCAGAGAGGCGTTTGTGGAGGACCGAGGTACGTGAAGGACGGGTCGAGATGCAAGAGACGGGGGTCAATGCAGGCGGGGGCCAGCCAGTGCGCAGGATCTTGCAGGATCTTGTGGAGCCAGGGAACTCGTGGCCCGGGCTTCCGCGCAGGACCTTGCAGGGATCCTGCAAAGCCCGACTGACCCGGGTGTGCATTGACCTGGGCCAGTAGATCCCTGAACCAGAGCGAAGGCTGAATGGGATGGATGCGACAGCAGCGGTTGGCGCGCTTGGGTCCGCACCCCTCCCGCGCCCCCCCTGACCCCACACGTGTAGCCAAGCAAGGGGTCTGGGAGCTCCAGAGGTCGCACGTCGCGGAAAATTCATGACGTCGGAGAGGCGCGAGCCGACCTCAGGGGTGCGATTCTCGCGGCGCGGTGCGCGAAATCGGCTGGTCTTGGAGGATGCGGGGGGGGGGGGGGGGGGCAGGCGAGGAAATAGATCCCAAGCGTGGGCTGGGCAAGCGAGCCCGAGCACCGGGATTCTTGCAGGGTCGAGCCCCGAGTAAATTCGGCTGGTCGTCCTGGGCGAGGCCAAGCGACCCTCGTCACAAAGCCTCCACAGGCCCGTGTTGGGCGCCGGCCCCCGGCGGATGTGGCCCCCCGCCGGGCCGGGTGGCCACGTCCACCAAGAGATCTTTGCCCGAAGTGGGCTTTGTGGAGGCCTGCGAGGCTGCGGGCACGGCCAGGAACGCGCGGGCCGCTGCGCCTTGGAGTCTCGGGCTCCCTTCCTCAGAAGCCCGAGGCGCAGTGGATCTGTATCGAGAGCTGGCCCCTCTGGGGACTAGATTTGTATCCGCATCCACTGCGCTTCGGCCTTGTGGCGCCCCTTCCCGGAGGGTCCAAGACGCAGTGGATATGGATGCAAATCTTGCCCGCCGGACGCTTGCTCAGCCGTGACGCGCCGCTCGCTCTGGCCCCCCCCACGCTGGCCACGTCCCCGCTGCCGAGCGTCCACGTCCCGAGTCCCACTCCGCGCCTCCCCGCCTCTCGCGGAGCCGAGCGACGCGCAGCCCGCTCTGCAGGGCACGGCGCACCTCCGGGCTGCCCTCGAAAACCAGATCCCCTCGGAGTGCCTCGGAACCGCCGCCGCGACGCGCGGAGAGCAGAGGCGCCTGGCCGCAGTGGCTTCCCCTCTCTCTCTCTCTCTCTCTCTCTATCCTGAGAGCGCGCGCGCGCTCCCCCCCTAGCCTCCGCGGACGCGGTGGGCGGGCGGACGGGGGATCGCCGAGCGCGCCGCGCTACTCGCAGCGTGCCCACTCGCAGACGTCAGACAAGCACATCTGTGCCTCGATGTAATGGATCGCAGAGCCCCCGCGGCGGCTCCAGGCCATTGGCGAGTAGTTACAGTCCACCTGCATAGCAGGGATGGGCAACCTTCCCAAGGGTGCCCGTGCATCCTTGCCTCCTCGGTCCGTCCTTGGCCACTTTTGTTGGCCGCGCCCCGCCCGCGAAGTGTCGACATGGCCTTCTAAGGCCCTTGCATCTTTACCGCGCATCCTTATCATGTGGGTTGACTGTAGCTACTCTGCGAGTAGTGGGAGTCGCTCGTCTGTAGGGGAGCAGGGTGGCGGCGGGCCCGCGGCCGCGTAGACCTGGAGCGGCAGGGGCGGGCGGCCTGCCCCGCGAGGCGAAGATGCCGCAGGAGGGGAAGCTGGTGGACCTGCTGAAGTTTACGCTGAAGGACGCAATCCTCCTCCTCCTCCCTCCCTCCCTCCCCTCCCCTCCCTCCCCTCCCTTCCTCTCTCCCTCCCTCCTCCTCCTCCTCCTCCTCCTCCTCCTCCTCCTCCTCCTCCTCCTCCTCCTCCTCCCCCTCCTTCTCCTCCTCCTCCTCCTCCTCCTCCTCCTCCTCCTCCTCATAATCATCATCATCATCATCATCATCATCATCATCATCATCATCATCTCATCATCATCATCATCATCATCATCATCATCATCTCATCATCATCATCATCATCATCCCTCCTCCTCCTCTTCCTCCTCCTCCCTACTCCTCCTCCTCCCTCCTCCTCCTCCTCCTCCTCCTCCTCCTCCTCCTCCTCCTCCTCATCCCTCCTCCCCCCCCTCCTCCTCCCTCCTCTCGCAGTGGAGTGGCCTCCCGCAGTGGAGTGGCCTGGCATCGCTCGGACGTGCGCATTTTGTCTTGGCGAGGGCCATCGAGGAGCAACCTGGATCACCGAGCAAAACGTACGCACGAAACCGAAGCATCCACGGGCAACGGACGCCCGAGCGACGGCAAGGCGAGTGGCGCCGTCAGGGAGGGACAGGCTCCGGGGGGGACGCATCTCCCTCCCCCCCCCCAATCACCCGTGCCTCGCCGGCCGGGGGCCCGACGGCCCCCCCCGCCCAGGAGCGTACGGATTCGCTGTCGGGGGCCTATCGCCGATCAGTCTGCGGATCGCCGAGTGCATGTTGATATGTTTCCCCCCCGAGCCGGTCCACACGCTGTCCTTTCCCCCCATTCCCGGCGTCCCCGTGGACGGCCAGCTTCTCTCGGGGGCGGAAAAGAGGGGGGTGATGACTAGGGGGGGGGGATATCATGGCGGGGCCAAGGTATTTCCCCAGATCTCATGGCACCTCTTCCTGTTTCATGACGTCCCTGGCCCCCCCGCTGGGCCGCGCACATGCCGCCGGTCATGATTTGCACCCCCCCCTCTTGGACACCCCCCTCTTGGCCGCTCCCGATTCTCTGCGTCGCGTCTGTCAGGGCTTGGGGTTGGGCACAGGCAGGCTGCAGAGGAAGCCCCCGCTAACTTTGCCCTCGGCAGGCAGGACAGCCGAGCAGTCCATTTGGACAGGCAAAGCGTCCAGCGGGGCAGGAAACGGATCCCATGGGATAGGCCGGAGGGCACGGAGATGGCCAGGGAGCCATGGGCATCGCCAGGAAGCCATTGGCGTAGCCACAAGCAGAGGTACTCGACTTTTCTCTGGTGCATTTCCTCCGAATTCCTCACCTTAGACGAAAGGGCGCCCCCCCACCGAGCGCCTGAGGCACCTCAGGCGCCGCCACCCGCGAGGCACGCTTCCCGAGCGGCGTCCTCGCCTGCCGCCCCCCACGCAGCGACGGCACACCGCCGCGCCGCGGCACCGGATCTCTGCGCCGAGCCGCTGTCGTGGCCGCCGTTCTGGGAGCCTGCTGCCTGCCGACTGCGCGGCCCCTTCAACGAGCCGCGCGCTTTGCCACCCTGGCAACGCGCGCGTCGGCCCTTTCTTCTTTCATGCCGTAGCGGCTGCATTCCATCGGCTCGGCTTCGAGGCAGTGCCGCCGCAGCTCCACCGGCCCCTGGTCGGGGTAACTTTCGCAGTGGTAGCTCATACTCAATGCCCTGAAGCCGCAGCTCGTACTCTAGTACGGATGGCCCTGGTCGGCGTGTTTGGGCGGCGCGCGTCGCGGCCACGCAATCGGTCGAGGCTTGCGCCCGCCGAGAAGGGCGTCTCAGTCCTGACGTCGAGGTACTCGTTGCCACCGCTCGGGGACGCGGCGGAGGAGAGCATGTCCGCAGGACGAGCCGCAGGACGACGGGTCACGCGCCATACTGGCTCCAGGCAGCTGTGGGATCGGCCATCACCACGACTTCTTCGTGGAGCATGTCGCGAAGGCGGTTGTGTCACTGGGAATCGAATCGTCGGCACCGCCACAGGTTAGGCAGTGCGCTCCTTGGCTTACGATGAGGTTGTAACCCGTTCTACTGCACTCCGCTCTCTTCAATTCGATTCCCCCCGTAAGCATTAGCCACCATGGTGACAGCTCTGAGGAGGTCAGTCACTGGGATCCAATATTATGAAAGGACTGGGGGTCCGATAGGCATTCTGTTTGACAAACTTACTGTTGCAGAAGATGTGCAAGCGCTGACTCCCACTGAGAATCAAGAAGCATGGCAGGATATAGATACTGAGGCAATGCAGTAGTCAGTGGTCATCAGCTCTCCAGTCTCTGGACTCACTACATGGGCTCCGTGGACTTCTTGGACTCTCTTGCCTTCCTGTGTCCCTTCGAATCCTTGGTCCCCTGGGCCCACTGGACTTCCTGAATGAATTCCTTAGACTCTCCTGAGCTCCTGGACTCCCGGCCAAGCTTGTCAATGGCATGCAAGCTTGACTGTTTTGCCGGCCTGCGAGCCCAGATACCTTTCTTGAGCCCCCGTATCGTGCTACTCGCCCTCCATCTCGCTCTTCTGTGTTGAGATGTCTTGGAAGCTCTGCGACAAGGCGAGTGTCTGGCGATGCATTCAGCTCCGATACACATCCTGTTCCCCCCCCATCTCCTGAATTTCCTCCTCCCTGGACTATACCCAGCAATGGCGGCCAGGAGTCGAAGCCCGCAGTCGAGTGGCAAGTCAGGGCTGGCACCGCATGGGTAGATTCTGGAGTTCGGCGTTTCGCTGAGACTTAAGGCGTTGGTCTTCCGTAGTAGCGTCGTTGGTGCTGTTGTTGCAGGTTTTTCTTCTCTGGTGTTGACCACGGCACAGATCGATTCCATCGGCTCAACTTGCATCAAGTATGGGAAAGTCTTGTTTGGCCGCGTAGCGACGAAGGATGAGATAATCAGCGAGACAGGAGTGGTAACGCATGTCACCCGCACGCCCATCAAGACGCAAGTACAGAGGATGCTGCATCTGGTCCCGATCAGTTTTCAGATTCGAGCTCAGCGAAGTGACGACTTGGCAGAGAGAGGCAAACGTTTTCAGTTGGGCGCCTGTTGGAAGTTCGAAGCCAACTTCATCACGGACGAACCCTTGGGCCAGGCAAGTCTTTCAAGAATCTGAGTATCTAGCTGGACGGGCACGCTTGAGTTGGCAACAGGAGACTAGCTCACAGTTTTCAAATATACAAAATGCAGGCGCGAGTTTCTCAAGTTAATTATGATCGAGCTTCGCGCCGAGTGGATCCGCCGACCCCCAGGCCAAGACGCCTTGTGTGCAAACGTCCCGGAGGCTTTCCCTGTGGGGGAAGGAGAGACCGGGAGCGGTGAACATGCATGTTTGCTTATTGACGCCGACGATTCGTTTTTAACAGGCCCTTTTTCGAATCGGGCTCTGATGAAAGGTCCATGAACGAACTGCAGTTGGAGGGCAGCACGGGCGCAAGCATGTACTGCACCATCCCATCGTCACCAACCACCGTACTTCATTCCACCCATCATGCAACACTCGTGAGACTCTTCTTCGTCCTCTGCGTCTTGCTTGCAAGTGGGAATGCGAAGCAAATGGGCCAGCTCACAGCTATGATCGAATTGGCGTAGATGTTCGCCCATGTCGCGCAGACTCACAGCAGTCTCAGGATACCGAGGATTTCCAGCGGCACGTTGCTACCCGTGCCGCGGCTTCAGCGCAGACCCCCGAGCAGGGCGTCGAGAGCCACGATCGGCGCACCCCGGCGCGAGGCGCTGCACGCGGCGGCGGCGCAGCCGGGGGACCGCAAGAACGACCCGAATCTTATCCCGCTGATTCTGCGGGATACGATTCGGGACAAGATTCGGGATCAGATTTTGCCTACTTCTGAGAAGTAGTAGTAGTAGTAGTAGTAGTAGTAGTAGTAGTAGTAGTAGTAGTAGTCGTAGTCGTAGTCGTAGTCGTAGTCGTAGTAGTAGTAGTAGTAGTAGTAGTAGTAGTAGTAGTAGTAGTAGTAGTAGTAGTAGTAGTAGTAGTAGTATAGTAGTAGTAGCAGTAGTAGTAGTAGTAGTAGTAGTAGTAGTAGTAGTAGTAGTAGTGGTCGTAGTGGTCGTAGTAGTCGTAGTCGTAGTAGTCGTAGTAGTAGTAGTAGTAGTCGTCGTCGTCGTCGTCGTCGTCGTCGTCGTCGTCGTCGTCGTCGTCGTCGTCTTCGTCGTAGTAGTAGTAGTAGTAGTAGTAGTAGTAGTAGTAGTAGTAGTAGTAGTAGTGGTAGTAGTAGTAGTAGTAGTAGTAGTAGTAGTAGTAGTGGTAGCAGTAGCAGTAGCAGTAGCAGTAGCAGTAGCAGTAGCAGTAGCAGTAGCAGTAGCAGTAGCAGTAGCAGTAGCAGTAGCAGTAGCAGTAGCAGTAGCAGTAGCAGCAGCAGTAGCAGTAGCAGTAGCAGTAGGCGGAGGAGGATGAGGATGAGGAGGAAGTAGCTGGACGAACTCGAGATGATGGATATCGATACTCCGTGCCGCCGGTTTCCCGACGACCTCGAGCAGCTCGTGTCAGTCAGGTTCGAGTGCCCTCAGGTGGAGGCGTGTCAGCCAGCCTCGAGCGACCCCGTCGGGATGTCCCAGCAGCGTGTGACGGCGTGGATCGAGGAGCCCACCAAATTCCGAGAGCGCAGGGCATCGCCCGACGAGCTGGACAAACAGGGCAGTATCTCGGTGGCAGCAGCAGTGGGCCTCTTGGAAGGTCTCCGGGAGGCAGGCGCAGGAGTCGGACTCGCCAACCAAAGCAATATCGAGACCGTACACCAGACGGCGGACTCGCACATGCTCGAGCAGGCGGTTGACAAGTATACTTCTGCGAAGATCTCAAGAGTATTTGAGGAGAGCCACGCGAAGATGCAGATGCCCAAAAAGCGACGATATGATGATCCCCGTGACGTGTCTCGAGCATGTCGGCGGCTCCTGGAAGCAGGGCGTCGCGCCGATGTCTCACATGGAGAGGCTGATCCACACGTGCCTGTCAGAGACGGAGTACTCATGCCGTCCGAAACGCTTGGTGCGCAAAGCTCCCGTGAGCATCCCGGTTTGTCGTATCTAAGTCAATGCGACGCCAAGAGGGCGCATGGCGGTGTGAGTTTCGCGGATGCCACTTCATCTGTTGCTGAACGCCCCGAGCCACCAACCCGAATTATACCCCATAGACGAGGGCCCTCCGAGCGGTGCCTCAAGCGTCAGACCCTCCCCCACCCCGTCTCCTCGAACCTCGAAGCGTACTATGGTTATCCCTGAGAGGGGGGATTGCCGCAACGCGAGATTCTCGGCCCTCGCTGTGTGGCAGAATTACGTAGGAACGGTTTCGATCTTATCATTGCTTCTGCGTCTAGTTCGTTGTTGAACCTTCGAGAGAAAATAGATAAATCAGTGTGAAGAATCGCGAGCTTAGCTCGTTCCCAGAGCTGCGTCAGTGTTATCCTTGCATGTCTCCTTCTCGCCCTCCCTTCGACAATTTCCTCCATTGCCTCCCGTGCCGAGGACAAGAACGATTCGATGGAGTCCCTGACCAAAACGATGGAGGAGGTCAAACGCGGCAGAGAGGAGAGCCGGGCAGCGGTCTAGCAGCGGCCATGTCTGCATCCCAGCAAACTCGCGCTGTCCCTTCGAAGAGGAGGCAGGGCGAGAAGAGTGAGGATCACAAGATAGGGACGACGAGGAAGAGGAGAAGGAGGAGGTTCAGGTGGGTTACGCGGGGTTCGAGGGATTCTAGGGGAAACGACGGGATCATTTGATTTTGTGGTTGGTTGGGATGAGGTAAGGGGAGGACGAGGACGAGGATGAGGAGGGTTGGAGGAAGGACGAGGGAACGAGGGAAGATGGACGAGAGAGGGGGGGGGGATAATCAGGATTACGTTGTAATTCTTTCTTGGTGAGGCGGGGGGCTAGGCGTACTACTAGGTACTAGGGCCTCTGAGGGATGATTGGAAACTCTTCAGTCGTTTTGTAAAACGGAGGAGGGGCAGAAGGATAATGCGTAGGAATGAGAATCCTCGGGATCCAGTCTGGCCACAGGGAAATGGAGAGAAGGGAAGACGGGTGGGAGGCAGAGAAAAGGGAGAGAGAAAGAGGCTGAGAGAGAGGGAGGGAAGGAGAGCGAGAGGGAGAGAGAGAAAGAGAGAGCGAGAGAGAGAGAGGGAGAGACAGACAGAGACATGGAGAGGTTGAGGAGGAAGAAGACGGAATGAATGGTTGAGTGTATGAAAGCCCTTCATACTCCAGTGTGTGTCTATACAAGCTTGCAGTTCGCTGAGATGTGCATCATAACAACGAGCGGACGAAGATGTGCGGTACGTCGCCTGGAGTCCTGGCTATCCGACGAGATCTCTGCAGTAACATCGAACCCGCCGACCTGGAACTCGGAACTTCCCGTCAGGCCTGTGCAGCCCAGGAGGTCAGAGCAGGGCAGGGCAGGGACACCGCTTTGTGTCCCAACCTGCTCGGGGCGCCCCTGCGAGTACCAGGGAAGCGGGAGGAGGAGGAGGACCAGTGCAAACCCAAGAGGCATCAACGATGTTGAAATAAACCCTCCCTCCAAGCTCCCTCTTCATAGGCCCCTACAGCGGTTTCATTTTTTCTGAGGGCAATGCCTCGTTGGAAGACAACTGTTTGAAGACCCTGAGGCATGCCAAACCATTGTTCTCGGGATTCCCACGCCACGGATCAACCTGACTGTTGCGTCTTGACGATCCTGAATCGTGCCAGAACCCCATTCCTGGGACTTGCACCGCGCATCAACATAATGTGTGCACCCTCATAAGCATGAATCCTTCCGAAAACACAATTTCTGGTTCGCTGGTCATGGGAACCCGTGAAACTCTTGCAAATGTTTAAGACGAATGCGCGCTGCGCAAAGGCGAGATCCACATTTTGAACAGGAGCCGCCCTCAACTGTCTCTTGCAATTGTTTTGACGAATACACGCGTCGTTAAGGCGAGAGCCACATCTTGAAAACAATTTTCCTTCAATCCGTGAAACTCTTGCAAATTGTTAAAAACGAATGCACGCGGCGCAAAGGCGAGAGTCACATGTTGAAAACCACGCGCCCTCAATCCGTGAAGCTCTTGTAGTTGTTTAAGAAGAATGTGCGCGGCGCTCAGGCAAGAGCCGCATTTGGGAAAGGAACCGCCCTCAATACATGAAGCTCTTGCAAATGTTTAAAACGTATGCGCGCGGTGGTAAGGCGAGAGCCACATTTTGAAAACTACTCGCCCTCAGACCGTGAAACTCTTGCAATGTTTGAAAACGAATGTGCGCGGCGCAAAGGCGGGAACCACATTTTGAGAACCACTCGCCCTCAATCCGCGAAGCTCTTGACCATGTTTAAGACGAATGTGCGCGGCGCTCAGGCGAGAGCCACATTTTGAAAGCAACCCGCCCTCCATCTGCGAATCTGTCGCCAATATTCAAGCATCAGAGTCATATATTGTCAGGAAGTCTCAAGCGAAAAGGCCCGCCCGAAAAACTGGCCTCGGGGTGCGACCGGGGGGAATTATTCATAAAGAGAAGGAATGGAGGAGGAGGAGGAGGAGGAGGAGGAGGAGGAGGAGGAGGAGGAGAAGGAGGAGGAGGAGGAGGGAGAGATAGGAGGGGGATGATGAGGAAGAAGAGGGGGGATGGAGGAGAGGAGAAGGAAAAGGATGCGGACCCGTTGGGAGGTTGCTATCTTCCAGGCTCCAGAGACGGTGTGCGGCCGTGTTGGGACGGCGCAAGCTGCTTTGCAATCAGAGGCGGCTCGGGGTGTAGGAGTCGGGCGTCTGTTCGAAGACCGCTCCATGTGAGCAGTCGCAGGCAGCAGAATGCACGGCGGCCTGACGGATGCTGACACCCTGCCTCGCTGAGAGGGGTACTCCCGCCACGCAGGTGTGACCCCTGTGGCGCTGCATGGGGGTCTGTTCCAGACTGGAGCCGGTGGTGGGAGAGCAACAAGATTCTCCGGATTTCACGATCAAAAGGGGAGGGGCCACAACCTTCCCAAACGAGCGCATTTGGACCCCCCCCAGACCCATGGAGGGGCGGCCTGCGGCCCAGACCCCCATGGAACCCTCCAGGACAGCTCAGCTCAGGATCCCCCCAGTCAGACCCCCCCATCCTCACTGTGCAGTCTGGAGTACCCCTTCCGCTGCTCCACGGGTCCTGGGGCGCGTTGTGACCAGGGTGTCGAGGCGACGCCAGCCGTGGCGACGGGGGGAGGGCAGCGGAGTCCTCCCGTCCATCCCTCCTCCCAAGGTGTGTCGAGGGGCGCGAGGGGGTACACGCTGCGTGGAGGACTGCTCGGTCGCCGGGCGCGCGTCCGCCGCTCGACGAGTGGCAGGCACGGCCCGCCGGCGCCGCCAGGAGGCGGCCTCCCTGCACGCCACCTGCCACGTGGCAGACAGGGTCGTGCAGGTCATGGAGAAGAAGTCGGAGGTCGGCCAACGACGACGCCGACGACAGGCGACGAGGGCGATGGCGAAGGCTTTCTGCAGTGGATCTTTTTCTGGGCGGCGGGTCCTCGTCCTTGTCTGTCTTTCGCCCTGGCATCTCTCCTACCTGTTCCCTCGTCCTCTTCCCCCCCTCTTCCTTCGATTTCTTTTTTCCGCCGTCACAATTCAGCGCCCCTCCTCCTCCTCTTTCTCCATCCCTGCTCTCTCCTCATCGCTTCTTGTTTTGCTGGCAGCGGTCTCCAGCAAGCGGTCCTTCCTGCTCCCTCATTCCTGAATCCTTCCTTCATCTTCCTGGTTTCGCCCTTTCCCTCCCCCCTCCTCCTCCTCCTCCGCCTCCTTCTCCTACTCCTTTTCCTCCCTTATTCTTCCTTCCTTTTTTCGCTTGCCGGTTCCTTTTGCTCGATTCCTTCTTCCCTCCTGATCGTTCTTCCCTCCTCATTTCCTTCCTTCGCAGCCCCTCCTTCTCCCCTGAGATCCGACGTCTCGAGAAAAATGAGACATCGTGAAAAATCCAGATTCGAGCCCCCAGACCCTTGCTTCCTGCTGCATTTTTCGAGCCGGCTTGATCTGTGAGAGCCCTGGGGCCCGAAATTGGGCGAACAAGAAACGCCCAGCTCGAAAAAAAGAGGTCGCCAGGATCTCAGGGTCCTTTTCTTCCTTCATGTCCCTCCGCGCTCCTCCCCGTCCTCCCATCGGACCAGGCTAGAACGAGGATAGTCCGTTCCAGAGCGTTCCGGAACGCTCTCAGAGAGCGTTCCAGAAAAGGCTCTGAGAGGGCCGCGGTGCCCGAGACATCCTCCAGAGTCGCCGGATCTCAGAGATTCTCGATTTACCCCCACCCGATGTTACTCTTGTCCTGGCGCCGTCAAAAGCCTTGCTCGAACAGAAAGAGGCCGCCAGGATCTCGGGGTCCTCCTCTTCCTTCATCTCCCTCCGCGCTCCTCCCCGTCCTCCCATCGGACGGGGCTAGAACACGGATCTTCCGTCCCATAGCGTTCTGGCACGCTCTCAGAGCGTTCCAGACCGCGCTGACGGGGCAGCGGCGGCGCCCGAGACATCCTCTGGATCTCAGAGATTCTCGATGCATCCTCACCAGATGTTATCTTCGTCCTGGCTCCGTCCTACAGTCCACCTTCCTAGTAGGGATTGGCAACCTTCCCAAGGGTACCCTTGCATCCTTACCTCCTCGGCCCATCCTTGGCCACGTTCGCTGGCCGCGCCCCGCTCCGAAAGCTTCGAAATGGCCTTCCGAGGCCCCTGCATCCTCTTCGTGCGTCCTGTTGATACGGGTTGACCGTATCCCGCGATGCTGGCGCGCCGCGGGCGACGCATGTCGACGCCGCGTCGACGGCGGCGAGGGGCGGCCCCGCCGAGGGCCCTCCGGGCAGGCCGCCCGACGGCCGCCGCGCCTGGCAGCGTCGGCGAGGTCCCAGGATCGGAGAGACAGGTCACCTCTGAGGGTCTTTCGTCTTGCTCTCATTCCCCCCCCGTTTCTCTTGGCGTGGAATATGTCCGTCCCTCCTCCTGATCCTCCTCCTTCTCCTCCTCCTCCTCCTCCTCCTCCTCGTCCTACTCCTCCTCTTCCTCCTCCTCCTCCTCCTGCTCCTGCTCCTGCTCCTCCTCTTCCTGATCCTAGCTCCTCCTCGCTCATTGCCAGGACTTAACGGACCTTTTGTTCTGCAAAGTTTGGGGCCTCGGCGCACACGTCGGCGCGAGGTCTCAGAGAGGCGTGCAAGGGTTCCAAGCATCCTGGCCTCAAGACCCAGCGGTCTAAGTTGAAGAGGGCGTTGTTCCCAGGGCACGCTCATGGCAAAGCCAGAGTCGGCCCTGCCTTTGGTCGGACCCTCGCGATGAAAGCTGGTTGGGGTCCTCTGCTGGGCGTTGTTGGGGGCGCTGCTGCTGCTGATGATGCGGGGAGCCCTGGCAGCGAGTCTGTGGAGGGACAGGTTTCGGCTGGCAGCCACATGGGCCCTAATTCCAGAGAGCCTGGTGCTGGGGGGGTGAGTTCTCGCCCCCTTCGCTTTCGGGGCCTACAGGCTGTCTCAGTAGTCAAGTTGCATGGCTTCGCCTCGCCTGATGATCTTGTGCAGTGGGAGAGGTCCTGCCAGAGGTCTCAGAAGGAGGCACCCGAGCTTATCGATAGCGATTAAGCTCTTAGGCGCGGTGCGGCGAGGGGCACCATGGAGTGCCCGTATTGTCAGTACCCTCAGTACCCTCCTCCTCCTCCTCCTCCTCCTCATCATCATCACCAACGCTGCGCGACGCGCGTCGTGTCGGCCGACGCGACCGCAGCCCGCGGCCGCGCCCTGAGGGGGGGGGGGTCGCCGCCGTCTCTGACTATCCTGGAGGACGACGGAGACGAAAGGGGACGAACGACGACCCCCCGAAGGGCAATGGGGCCTTGGGGGCCCCCGCCGCTCCCTCCGGGGGGTCTCGCAGGCGCCGCTCAAACCTCCTGGTTGTAGTTCATCAGCGGCGTCCCGTGCGCGGTGCGCCACGGGGGACATGGGCTGGCACTCCCGGTGGTCCTTGAAGTTGGGCAGTGATCCTCTTCTGCATGTTGTAAGCTCTGGTTGAAGGGCTGGTGCCTGGTGTCGGCATCCAACTGTATGTGCATCTGGCGCAAGTCCTGGTCGATGTTCTCCACAGTCGTGCCTCTGCCGTACCCTCGTTCCTTCCAGGATTCATGAAAGGCGCGTGCAATGCATCTTGATAACTCCAATGGTATATCCCTGGTCTGGGTACGTCCAGCGTCGGCGTCATGACTGTGGTGACTGCAGCAGCCGTTGTAGTAGTTCTCGGTGATCACGGTGCTGAACCTGCTGCATGATATCTGAAGAATCGTAGTGGGCCTCTTTGTTGTGTGTCCCATCATACATTGGTCAATTGTGATTGTGCGTACATTGGGTAGCCTCAGGATCATTCGTAGCTCTGGTATGCTCCAGCACGATGGGGATTGCGGCTGCCAGTTCCTCCTCGGATGTATCATCAGCATGGGGATATAGTGTCTTGCACAGGCCGCCGCCAAGAATATCGATGCTCTCATCCGTATATTGTCCATCATAAGCTTGCGTCGGTATCTCATCTCATTGTTTGGCAGACCCCAAGGGTATTGTGCCGAACGTACTGGAGGGGGTCCTTCATGTCCTGCATGTTGGTGCTTGGTGCCACGCCAGGTCTCGCTTGGTGGTTCCGCCAAGACGCCCAAAATGTGTCCTTGGGCAATCATTCTTGCAAATTTGAGAGTATTATACCAGTAAGTGAGGTCGCCAGCCTCTGCATCAACGTCGACTTGTAGTACCACACAATTGAAGTCCTGCTGCTGCTCTATCCAGTCCTGTAGGTCCCCTGGTCTCCTTCGGCTTGAGGATAAGTGAAGTACATACTTGCACGTGGGCAGGTGTGTCGGTGCCATTCGCCTAGCTGCCTCCTCTTCTTCTAACCCGTCGGCGCTCGTTGCCTCTGGGTAGTCGTAGCCTTGTCGAGCTTGTGGGAGCATAGGAGCCTGTCCAGGAACATGTTCATGAGCTTGTAGTAGTGGCTGCTGTGGCTGTGGTACTTCCTCGTCTGAGGCTTGTTGTCCGTATCCTTCTTCTTGCTGAGGACGCTGTACTTTTCTCCGTTGTGGGGCGTCCCGTCTGACAGGTTGAATTGCCTTGGATGCACCATAGCCTTGCTGTTTGAGTGCTGCAATCGTTGCTCTGTCTTGCTCTTGGCGTTTGTGGACCTCTTCGTCGGGCATCGGTTCCATGGTGCTCTTGAGCTGCTGAAGGCATTCCGCCACTCGACGTAGGTGCACTAGTAGTCGTGGTCGCGTATGGTGTTCACTTTTGCATGCGTGGCAATAGGTACCAGCCGCATAACGTTGTGCCGTGTCAATAATATGGTGGTCTCGATGGATGTGGCCAGTGACGGTGGCAATATTGTCGTATTCTTTTCCACATATGTAGCAAAATACTTTGTGTTGATTATCTCCGACTTGGTCTTCAACTTGGGGCTCTTGTCCGTGAAGCCGTGCCAGTGCCTGCTGCCATACTTGTCGATGATGTTCGTCATGTTGCTGTGCTCGAAATCTGTCCCACGCTTGCTTGAGCAGTCTCCTGAACGCAGCAGGGTCGCCCACTATTCTGTCTATCCATGCCTGCAAAGTCCTGTGTAGTATAGGATCGTCTGGGCCTGCGTTCATGTGTGTTGCGATCCAAGCAAAGTCCAGTTTGAGCTGTGCCGCCCATCCACTCTCGTCGTTCTCAGACTCCCACGTACGATCCAGCATCTCCAGCAGTATCGTAGGGCCGTTCACCAGTAGCGACACCAGATACCTGAGTCGCCGAAGTCGTATTCCTGCTTGAAACGGTGGCTTTTTTGCTTCATATAGTACTTTGCATGTACTTTGTCGCTGTCCATCTTCATCGGGGAGGTGTAGCCGTAGTGCCGATCGGTATGTCTTTTGATATGCTGCTTCGAGCGCTTTCATCTTGGTGTTGCTGACGTCTGCCCAGGTCTCGGTGTGGTATCCCAGGTGGACGTTGATGTGGGTGTCGGCTATCTTGACTTTTGCATCACTGCTGAGTTGCAGTAGCTTGTTGATTGACTTCCGTACTGGTCCAGCTGCGTCACGGTGCCTATTCAAGTTCCTGGCAACCTGGGTGCCTACTGAGCCATCCTTGTCGATGATCGTACCTAAATGCTTGTAGCATACTTCGACATGTACCTCTAGTCCGTATCTTCTGGAGTTGATGGTGGCTGGGGACTTGCCAAACACTTGCTTCTTCGTTAGTCCCGAGCCAGGGCCTCTGATGGATGGCACAATGGCTGTCTTGGTGCGCTTGTAGTTGACCTCGAAACCGTAGAGTAGCATGGCTCCGTGGACCGTGTCCGCTGTCTTCCGCATTGCCGTTAGCATAGTATCGTTTGGTGCCTGTACCACAAACAATGCGTCATCGACAAACGATACGTCAGTCAATATCCTTTGAGCTGTCCTGTGTTT